CCGATATATCGTGCATCCCTTGTATGAATAGAAATAACAGAGGAATGTGTCTGAAAACAAAAATGATTCCAACTTTATGAGCGACGGTGTAGACGAGGGCTAAAATATAAATGTTTGCGAGGAAGGTCTGAGGTGATGTCGTTTAGCTACCTGCTGAAAAGATCATTTTCAGAAATGTTACCGTTCAGATGAAGTCTCATACAAACATTATAGCCTCATACTTGTTCTGCTATTAGCTTTTCAGTGGGTAAAAAAATCCATTAAAAGAGGTTAAAAGGATAATCTGTAGAAGCCAATGATGTAATAACAGCCGATAACGTAACAACGGCCGATAACGTAATAAAAGTCCTGAACCGATAACGTAATAACTTTTGACCAATAATGTGATAACGAGCAAATTTATTACGTTATCGGACGTTATTACGTTTTTGGCTTCTACAGGGTTTCATGTTGGTATCTACTAGTTGTAGTTTGATTTTCACAGTTGCACCACATTTATTGAATCCAGTTGTTTTCATGTTTATCCCACTGCATTGGATCTAACTCTTGGTAAATATCTTATGTGTGTTGCATAGCTGCACACCGATACATGTGCTAATACATGCATGGATTATTGTCTAAGTCAAATATACGAGATGTTTTCAAAAGCCGATTGTTGTCGACTGATTGCTGACACGCTGAATTTTACGAAACATTTCAACCCCCTTCTGAAAACCCGCTGAAAGCATTAGCAGCATTAGTTAGAGGAAACATTCTTGTTCACTGCAGCTCCGTAAATCACATTTGCAGGAGTGTCTCTGGTGTGTGCTACTAATCCTGAGAAGCAGACCTACCTCTTCTGCTTGTAGGTGAGCATGGCCTCGGCGATGGGCAGCTGGTGAGCTCCGTTGGCTCCCACCATGTACTGGGTCACCCTGGACACCACGTCCGGGTTCTCCTGGGCTGCACACGAGTTCACATGTGAATACACAACCAGCGACATTTAGAGCCTCGATTTCAAGTTTCAAGTTTAAATCTGATGAAGAAATTTTATACATGTGCAGGAAAAATTACCAGTTTTTACAGTTTTAAATCCTATTTAACCCTTTGAATTCCAAGCAGTTTCTGGGCGTTCTGTCATGTTTTTACTCAATGTGGGTTCATTTGTCACCACAATATAAAGTCCTGCACCTCTATGGAAACAACACAACCATGACTAGAAGGAGAGGGAACTAAAAAATGTTGTCTGTGCAATAAAACAAAGTTATAATGTCGTAAATTGCAAAAAAAGAAAAAAAAAAGTTGAATTTCTTTGATTGATTCTTTGATTTTATGTAAAAAAAAAATAATTAAAAATGCTGGAATCAACATGAACAACATTTGTACAAGTGCCTACAGGTTTTTACAAGTTCTGGGGGGACAAGTGGTGGCTCTACATACTGTAGATATTTAACAATTTACATTTTTACCACCTCTACAAACTGGGCATCCTCCACACTACTGATGCTTCACCATGCTGAGTGTATCTTCCAACAACTTGCTCCTCTGTTTATTTAAACCATTCTGCATGAAATATGTTTAATTTTGCTTCCAATCACTCTAATTTGCCTCCATACTTGTTCCTATCGATTCTGTGTAAACACTGCCTGCAGTTCAGTCGAAAAGTCTCTGAATTTTTGTTGCAGCCGAGTCACTTGTGGTTTCCTCGATGAACCACGGATTTCTTTTGTTTTTTACAGGATCTGATGCAAACTGTTTATTTTTTAAATTAGACATGTAGAATAAAGCGATTTTGATTGATTATCATGATTTTAAAAGTTCAAAAGTTGCTGATTCTTTCAGTTTTTATCATGTCTGGCTCTGATAAATGGTGTAATTTTGGTGGAGTTTTTATTTTTTAAAAGCTAACATGACATGAATCCTGCTGGCAGGTTTTGTTTTTTGGAACGGTGAATAAATTAGTGTGATGTTGTTCAAAGTAAAGATAACAACACGTATCAGCTCACCCACAACAGGAGCCTCTGGTTTGTGGAACAAGTCCCTCCAGGCAGCATCTTGGAACAAACTGTTGTATCGATAGTCAATAGTGCCGAGATATTTGGAGACGGGATGTGCACCTAAACACAATCGAAGACACACAAATGGAGCTTCAGACATGCATGTGCAACATTAATATCATAATATTATCACTACTGGAAAGAAAAAAGACAACAGAATCTGCATATGGCACATTTAAATACTAAAAACTAACAGAGAGCACGAGTTGCATCGATCACCAACCTAGAGGGATGATGAGGAACCTCATGTAGCCGAGCCAGTCAGGGGTCTTATGGGAAAGATGGTCCACAAAGAGCCTCAGAACGGCACTGAGGTAATGCTGCGCCCCGGCCACCGCGATCTTTATAGGAATGGGCGTCTGGGAGTTACAGTTGCAGCTAGAAACAGAAAGTACAGCTGTTAACTCCACACCGTGACACACACAGCGCATCAGCCTGCAGATGTGGGCTTTCAGCTGTGACACACATTCAGACTCACAATCTCTGTATGCGGGAGACGATGGTGTTGAACGCAGCCTGGATGTCGGCCGTGGTGCAGGTGCAGACCACCGGCAGATGGTGGTTCTGCAGCATGTCTGACAGATACTGAGCAAGTAGAAAGACAGCGAGCTCATTAGAGGCAAAAACTGACTTCAGCATGAACAAACATCCTTTAAACACTGTGATATTTAAAGTCTTCTGAACTTTCCAGAGACTTTTTACAGGCAGGTATGAAGAAATAAACGCAGCTGTTGAGCCATTTCCGGTGTTTCAGAGTTCCTGCAGCGTTCGCCAAATTAAATTTACGACCATATCGACCTGTGTAATAGGCACAGAGTGTAATTTCAAACCCTTTTACGGTTCAGGCTGGTCAAAGAATGGAGGAAAACCAGGACAGGACTACAATAATTTATTAGATAGATGAATTTATCGACATTTTGGTTGTGTTTTTGTCAGTAATTCCCATCTGGAAGTAACAATAATCAATAGTAATATAATCAGTAGATGCATAGCAGAAAACTGATGGATGATTTCAATGGCTAAAAAGTTATTAATCAGAGTTAAGACACTGATATGATGCTAGAACTACTGTTACTATCTATGGAAGGCAAGAAAAAGCATTCAAGACTCCAAATGTTAAATTACTATCATCCAATTTGGGTCTTCATCCTGTCAAAATCTTTCTAAACAATAAAAATAATCCAGATTTACACATCAATAAGTTAACAAAGTGAGCTTAAACATCCAAAAACCGTTCAGAATTCATTAACAGACACAGAAATAGGTGCTTCCAGTGAGTCTCACCTGGCCCTGCCAGTCTGACGTGTTGATGAGGATGATGCTGTCAGGAAGGTGGTTGTCAGACACCAGGATGTGGTTTAGTTGGTCATAAACCGTCTTTCTTGGGATCTAAGCAGGTGAAATAAGGAAACTTTCATTTGGGGCTGTTGTAACAGTGAACTTTCCCCACTGTGGGATCAATAAAGTTATCTTTATCTTTATCTTTATCTTTAAAATGCTCTTTTTATTTCATGTGTTGTATATATCCCCTGGTCACACTGTATCTATGTATGAATGTACGACATGCTCACAACATACTAGAATGAAAACACAACTCTCTCTCATTAACATAAACAACAAGAAATCTGTTTGTCTTCATGTTATTTCAAGGTACAACATCTAGCTACACTCCTTTTTTTTATTATTTCTGTACTGAATGAAAGAAATCTAATATTTTTGATATGTTAGACTTTTGTTAAAGTGGAAACACATAAGTAACCTTGCAGCAAATTTGGTATTTTATATGAATAAAACCGATTCAACTGCTACGAACAGACAAAAACTTTATTGTTTTGTGGAGAAAATAAGGAATCCTATTTTTTACGTTGTGATTTGTGGACCACAAAACATTCTTTATATTGCTTGCCTCACTCGTTTCCCTGGTCACACTGTGTAGATATAAATACACTGAAATGTAAACACATAGCTCTGGATTAATACAACCAACTAAAAGTCTGTTTGTCTCAGTCTTACTGTTATTGCAGGATGTTTTAATCGTCATTTTTAGGGTACCACATCTAATTATACTCATGTATTTAAAATAAATCCTGTACAGAATGACATAAATCTAATATTCTTAATACATTAAACCACTGCTGAAGTGGAAACACAAACGTTACCCTGCAGGTTTAAAAGGTGTTTTTAGTTTGTGCCTGAAACTGAGATTAATCTTCACACTAACTGGTATTTTATGTTAATTAATTCCATTTACTGCTGTTAATGAACAGAAACCTTGTTGTTCTGTGGTTCGTCCTGGAGCTCCGTCCTCCTACCTGCAGGATACAAATCTAATATTTCTAATGTAATATACTTTGTTATAGTGGGAACACTTAAGTTACTTTGCAGTCGAAAATGAGGAGAAGAAAAGTGTTTTTCTTTCATTTATTGGTATTTTATGTTAGTAAAACTCATTTATCAGCTGCAGATGTGCAACATCGCAGCACAGTAACATGCTATTTACTGCCTCTGTGCAATAACACACGAGTTATTTATCTTATCTGTTGTCACGTGAATTTCCCCAGAGAGGGATCAATAAAGTTTCTTATCTTATCTACTCTCACTGTGTACTTTATTTTCTTAGGAAAAGCACTTTACATTTATGTCTTTACTGTTTCTACTTATGTTTTCATTTCCAGGTCATTTGTCTACTAATGTTTATCTACATGTCTTGTACTGTTTATATTTCTAAGACTTTGAATGGCAGCGACTGTAAGTATTTCTGATTCTTTCATTTCATTTCAATTATTTCTGACGTGCCACAGAATCATAAAGGCAAAAAAGAAAATAAATACATCATACAAAAAATTCCCAAAAAACAACTAAACCAAATCCCAAACCTAGAATAATGTCTGAAAACAAGTAGGATGAAGTTTAACTTACTAACGTCAACCCGCTACACATCTGGACATCTCAAATCTTATTGTTTCCTGTTTACATCAAATCTTCTTCTTCTTCTATGCTTCTTTTAAAACTCCAGAACACATTTCCACATTATTATATGTTTAAAGCAATCTCGTTTCGTATTCTTTTTTAAATTGTCTTGTAGTTGTAGTCGTTTTTAAACCCTCATCCAGACTGTTCCATAATTTCACCCCACATACTCCGACTCTTCTTCGTGGTGCGAGCAAATTACGTTTTAAATGGAAAAAGTTGTTCTTAATTCATAATTTGCAATTCTACTTCTGAATAACTGTTGTATGTTCACAGGGAGTAAGCTTTTGCGCAGTTATAAATGTAACTAAATCAATAAATTTTACAGTATTTGCTTTGGAAAAACAACATACTAGTGTGCTCATCATGTCCCACATTCAGACACAAACTCGGCCCTGCAGCTCCGTCCTCCTACCTGCAGGTGGCACCGTGTGTCCAGAGAGCGCTCGTTGTCCAGGCTGTTGGCTCTCTCGTTCTGCGGCCTGCTGGGTTGGCGCTCCTTCAGCGACGTGCTCCTTCCTCGCCTCCCTGCCAACTTCGGTTCCTGCCTGAAGACGAAAACAACACATGAAGTGAGAGCAGGGCCGAGAGCGAGTCGCTGATTTGAGGTTAATCTGCCTCGCGGTGATCATTCCAGGGCATTTCTATCACACAGTATGATTTAGGTGCAAAGTGTAGCCCAGTAGAGGTTGGATTACGTCTAAATGATGTGCCTCTACCTGTTGGATGAAATGATGAGCGACTCCGTCTTGGTCATTTTGCCACTCGGCGGCAGCCTCTCCAGAAACGTGTCCATGTTGTCCATCTCCAGCTCTGTGGTCGGAGTCACCGCCTCCGGCTGCTCCTGAGGGAAAACACAAACAGAGGAAAACAGCAACAGGGTTAAGGGCTGACACATGTGTTTGTGCATTTTCTCCTTCGACACAACACGTCTTTTTTTCACATCGTAAACGTCTCGAGGAGCTGTTGTGTGATTATTAAACGTGTGGGTGTCAAACAGGGCATAATCGCTGCATTGTTAGAGACCTGGAGGTGCTAATTAATCTGTATAATAACACTGGTGCCGGTTATTGATCTCAGGAGGCTTCATACTCACAAAGGAGACGTTATCAGACACGCCGTCATCTGGAAACTTGCCGCCGCCACACTTGGTTTTATCTGGGTCAATCTGGAAAGAGGCGGCGGGAAGAATAATAAGCATCACCTGGTTTCGAGGGAGGAAGTTTAATTTCACCGAAAGCGCAGAAATGCTCGACTCAGTGTCTCGTGATGGATTCTTCGACATCCTGCAAACAGACCTGCAGACTGATGGGAGAACCTGAGCGAGGGAGGTGAAGTTTTATAATATCAGAAGGGCCTTGAGCGAGATAATTAACGCCTCTCTGCTCCAGTGGGTTCGCTTATCGGCTGTTCGGTCTTATCAGTCCTATTGTGTCGGTGAATGTATGAGAAGCAGGTTCGAGATGAGTCGATTTCCAAGAGAGAAAACTGCTGATTTCGTGTCGGAGGTCTCACCGGGCTGGGAGGCTCCCTGTGGCTCCGGCTGCTGTGGATGCTGCCGATCTCAGTCTGAGAGCTGGAGAGGGAGAGACCCTCGAAGTATGGCCTGAAACAGAGGAGACGGTCTGGAGTGAATTAAACCAAACAAACTTGCGTCATCTTAACAAGCCTGCTGACGTGAAGGGACTGGGAGGCTCCTTCGGGTCAGAGGGTCAAAACACTATCCGTCAGAGTTGCACCACAACACGCCAGCTTTTCTTAGCGTGATTAACATTTCATAGGGTTTGAATCCAGCATTTAGAAAAGACTTCTGTCACAAAAACAAGAATGTGCATTCAACAGTGGTGTGTAAACATGGATTAATAGAATAGAGCAGAACAGAAAAGCTTCATTGTCACCACACATACAGCCGTGAACAAAACAAATACACTCATAAACACCTTGTATATCAAGACAGTCTTGAGTTTCTAATGCCTCCTATAACTCTGAATTTTAGACGATGGAATCACTGAAACACATGCGTCTTTGTCACACACACAAAACAAAAACATTTTGGTTCTTTCACAGATTAATTATAGATGTTCTGTAAATATGACAAAATCTGCTGGGTCAAAAATATACATGGAGTAACTTGAATAGTTTTGGTGATGTAGCCTCATGGCCTCTTCACAAGTTATTAACTACAGCTGCCGACTCCTCTGAGCCAATTTAAATAGAGCCCATTTGATGCACTCGTTAGATTCAGCCATGAACACTGCAGTGGGACATTCTGAGGATCTCAGCAAAGATCTGAAAAAGCAAATAAGCAATAAATAAGAAGCTGCTGGAACACAGGTGTCAGTGTCCACAGTCAGGTGTGTTTTACATCAGCTGCAAGGAGGAAGCTCTATCTTGAGAAACAGCACATTCAAGCTGGACTGAAGTTTGCTGCTGAACACTTGGGCAACGAATAGAGATTCTGGAGGAAAGTTCTGTGTTCAAATGAAAGAAAAATTTAGCTATTTGGCCACAATGATAACAAATATGTTTGGAGGAGAGAAGGTGACTTAACTAACCAAACCTACTGTCAAGCATGGCGGTGGCAGTATCATGCTCTGGGGCTGTTCTGGTGCCAGTGGAACTGAGGCTTTACACAAAGTAACTGGAATAATGATGAAGGAGGATTACCTCCACATTCCTCAGAAAATCCTAAAATCATCAGCCAGAAGGTTGAGCTTTGGATGCAGCTGGGTGTTCCAGCAAGACAACGACCCAAAACACACGTCAAAAGTGGTAAAGAAATGACTAAATCAGGCCAGAATTAAGAGTTTAGACTCTCCAAAGTCCTGACTTAAACCCCATGAAGAACCTGTGGACTGTGTCAGAAAGCCAAGAATTTTAGTTGAACTACACTAATTCTGTCAAGAGGAGGGTCAACGGTTCAACCAGAAGCTTGTGGACGGAAACCAAAAGCACCTAGTTGAGGTGAAAATGGCTAAAAGTCATTTAACCAAACACAAGCCTGACTGTATGTATATTTTTAACCCAGCAAATTTCTGTCAAATTTCCAGAAGACTTGTAATCAAGCTATGATAGACCCAAAATGCATGATTGTTTTCTTGTGTGACAAAGATGCATAAGTTTCAAAGATTCCATCACAGAGAACTCAGAGTTATAGGAGTCATTGGGAACTGCCACAATAGATAGATGGTCTTTACAAGTGTATGTAAACTTCAGGACTGTATTTGTGCAACAACATTTTCCTTGCAGTGCGTTAAAAACAATATCTTTGAAGTTGCACACAAGCATCTGTCTACATAAATGATAAAAAAAGAAGAAAAGTGGCATCTAAATCCAGTTGCATTATGAGTATATGGAAAATTTTAAGTATTGCACATTGTTTTGAAGATGTTTGCACTTAATAAAAACAGGTGGTGTCAGCAGCAGGACCAGCGTTTGTTACTGTATTTTAACCAGGAGGTGTGAGCTCTCGAGGCTCTGTAACACCTTCCAGACGGCAGCACAGTGAAGAGGTGATGACAGGGGCTAGTTTTCCTTCAGAGCTGCTCGTCAGAGGCACTCTGATCTGAAGACGTCTTCCAGTGTGGGCGGGTTAAGTCCAATTATTTTCTGGAATGTGTTTAAGGTTCTCCAGAGATGTTTCTTGTGTACAGTTTGCACACCCTGCTGTAATGCCGTATGTCAGTACAGACTCATTTGAACAATGATAAAAGGCCTTGAGCATCTCTGCAGGCAGGTTGTTGTGGTTTTGTAAGCATCTCTAAAAAGTAGAGCTGCTGTTGAGCCTTTTGGATTAGAGTGGTGAAGATGACTCTCAATGATAAATTCTTTGTTTTTTGTTTTTTTTTAATGTTTAGCGTTAGACTGACGTGTTGTATTAAACTCACACCAGAGCATCTCAAAAAATTAGAATCCCGTTAAAAAAAAGTTCCATATTTTCCATCACTTATTTAAGAAAGTAAAAAAGTTATTTATTCTAGATTCATTACATGTAAAGTGAAATATTTCAAGCCTTTCTTGTTTTAATTATGATGATGATGGCTTATAGCTCATTAAAATCTGAAATCTAGTATCTCAAAATATTCAAATATTTCCAAAGATTAATCAAGAAAAAGATTTAAAACACAGATATGCCCAACTTTGGAATAGTATGTTCATGTATACACCTAATACTTGGTTGGGGCTCCTTTACCACAAATGTACAGCATCAGTGCAGTGTGGCATTGTGTTAGACTTAAAGTAAAATGCGATGTTGCTCACAGTAGATACAGTGAAGGTGCATTCAAGTGTCCTGCCTTTTGTCAGTATCTTGAATCCACTGCTTTTCCATGTAAAAGTCAGTGATGACTCATTGGACAGGCTTAATCCTGCATCTGTTTTACTTCTATTATTTCAGTTTTAGTTTTGTAAATTGAGCTTATTTTTAATTGTAGCTCATGTTTGCTCAGCTCGGGCTGTGACAGTATTCATGGGCAACACTTCTGTAAAAACAGGTGTTTAATGTTTTCTTTTTGTTTATAACATCTGAGTTTGGAGTTTAAGGCTAAAACATATTGGGACCAAACATCAGAACATCTTGCCGCCTTTGCTTTATTGATTTTAATGACTCTTTTTTTAAAATCTTGGAAGTCTCCCAACTCCAAGAGCGATGCTAAAGTTTATTAGTTTTTATGATGTGATCTTATCATTATCTAAACAGTGCTTCAGTGTTTCCACCCTTGCATAAAACGAGTCTTTAGCTGGTCCTTTTTTTTTTTGCTTCTAAACACAAAAAGCTGAATTTGCTGCATTTTTGTGTGAAATACTCACAAAATGCATCACATTGAAAATCATTTAAGTCAAACTTTGACAATGTGGCAGGATGCTATAGCGTCTGACCACATGGAGATCGATCTTAACCTCATACAATCCCCTTCATATTTCGGAGCAAAAACATTCAAATTAAAATGGCTGTAACTTCTGCCACCAGAAATGAGGTCTCAAGATTTCCGTGAAGGTGTCAGAAAAGCTTGAGTTGACACAGAAACAGAGCAGTGGGCCTTTAAATTAGAAAAAGTGAAGATTCCTATTTATCTATTTTATAAATAATTCATATAGCGTTTGTAATATTGCAAATGAAAGATTCGACTTAAAACGATGGTTCTGACTTTGTGTGTGTGGGTTTAGGCTGCTCTTGTGCATAAAACATAACAAAGAAAAGGAAATCGATGCTGTTTTTGCAAAGACGGCACCTTCCTGAATCCTGCAACACCAAATGTGTGCATGTTTATTGATGGAGTGGGAGAAAAGGGGAAGTTTACGGGGCGAAAACATGTCGAGACACTCGTATAACTCAACATAATTTGCCCTGCAACACCAAATAAAGCTGCACACACTGTGAACCGCTCACTTGAGTTTGGGTTTTGGTGTGCTGAGGACGCTGTCGTCGTCGTCCAGCTCCGGGCCGCTGTCGCTGGGGTTCTCGAACTCCACGCTGTCCAGGTCCAGATCCTCCTCCTCCACCTCCGGAGGTGGCTCTGCGGGATCCTGTTCCGAGTCCAGAACCTTTGACAGGAACACAAAATCGCATATCTGGTGGTTCAGCGGTTCCACGGTTTAAAGAGAAACTCCCAGAGCGGCACGAGAAAGAAGCACTCACCTCGTCTGAAACTCTGAAGCGCTTCAGGAGAGCCACAACTCGCTGCTTAAAGTTCTGCTGCTAAAGCACAGGAGAATAAACACACAAGCACAAGTCAGTTTGTGACCTAGTTCTGATTTACTACAGCGCTCTGAGCAATCCAATACCGAGAGAACAGCTGCTGCGAAGCCGGAGCGCCTCCATTTTAGTCATTTTACCAGCAGTAGATACATTTGCAGTGTCGGCCGGGTATCGATTCTGCAGCTTGTGCTCATGTAAATCAATAATCAAGCAACATCATGCCTCATCTGGTTTCTGGGTTTCATCTTCTGCTTCCGCCCACTAAGTCTTTCACATCATATCATCCATTAGCCGTCTTATTTAGACTCATCAAAAGGCGTTTAATTAGTCTTATTAGGCACAAGATTAACTCAATCCGACGTTAAGTGGTGTTGTTTTAAAAGAAACTGCATCACTGAACAAATACTCTGTGAATATTCAGTGTTTTATGCTCGGAAGAAAAGCTGAGGGAAAGCTTAGATAATAAATTTAATGCAAAGTCTGCAGACGCCTGGAGCTTTTCTCATCGCTCTGCTTGTGCATCCAGCACCTTCATGTTCTGTGGAATCTTTGCTTCAGGTAGGAACAAGTGCAGAACAATCCCAAGTCACTTCTGTGCAAAAAAACCCAAAAAACAACCTGTTTGCTGAAAAAAAAAACATAAAACAAGACGTGCAACAGTCCAGCTGGGTGGATATTCACTTCTCTATGGTTCAGAACAGTGTTGCAAAGTAAAGAAAGACTCATAATAATGATATTAACAAGACAAGTTGTCACTCTGTTGTTTTAAATATGATCATTGTGATCAGGTATCATGCTTGTATTAGTTTCAGATTATATTAGACTTAAAGATGATACACAAATGCATGAATTAAAATCACTGCCTTGGGGTTGCCTCGACCAGCCAGTGAAGCTTTAGTTTACATCCATGTCTGTCCAGACTCATAAACTATATGTAGTGAAGACTTTGGAGGAAGTTATTGGTGGGAACCCAAGATTATTATCAACGAACCAGCATCCAACCAAATATTAAAATATCGTCACAATATCTGGAGTTCTGGTGCTAAATAACAGCCTGAAAAAGTTGTTTTAAGAACATCATGATGACACAATGAAGCTCATCTTTGGCCTTTTGCATAATAAATGTCATCACTTTCTTTAAGAAAGACTTTAATAGGCCACAGTGACCTTTTAAGACCAAAATCAGTTCACTGTTGAGTCTAAGTGAACGTTTGTGCCACATCTGAAGAAATTCCCTCCAGGTTTTCCTGACATGTCGCAATCTGAGAACATTAATGCTTCTTGCCACAGCTGTCACCAGCCTGGAGGTATGAAAAACAAAAACTAAATCTGTTTTCCAGTGTCGTTTAATAAGGAAGGAAGAGTTCATAATGGCTCAAAATAAGCTCATTTGCTTTCTTGCTGGGAGTCAGATGAAATGATCAACACTGGTCTAATGTCCTTCATTTTAAGTATGGCGCTCACAGCTAATTACCTCAGCTTAGCCTAACGACTGACGTTGGGGTAAAACAACTGGACTCGTTCTGTCCATAACAAAAACTACCCACCTTGTGAAACTCAATAAGTGTGATGTCTCGTTTGTTTCATCTGTCACTTTGTGGGTAAATGGGGGGTCACATGTGGGACTGTTACTTGTCTGGATGCATTGATGTCCTGGAGTCATAACTTGGGACAACTCGTCTTACTGTAAAGGAAACTGTGTGGGCATCCAAGACTAAATACGTATATATAAAAGACTGATGTAGCCTCCAGGTCTGAAAGGTTGAGGCAAAGTGGTCGTGTCTTTAACCTGCCAGCAGGGGGGCGACTTCTCTGGCTGCAAAAAGAGGTCAGCTTGCATAGAAATTTATAAGAAAATGACTCAACTTCTCACTTGATTTGCTACCCAAATAAACATTTTCCCAATGAGTTTATGGTCTCAATTGCTAGTTTTAAGTCTCCTTCAATGCAGCGTGATATTAATTTTGTAAACTAGGATCACATTTAGAGGAAAATAAATGATAAAGAAGGGGATGTTTTAAGGCAGGGCGACTGGATGACGCAACAAGGGGTCATATTGTATAAAAGTCAACGACAAAATGACTCAACTTCTCACTTGATTTGCTACCCAAGTAAACATTTTCCTATTGAATTTATGGTCTCAACTGATAGTTTCAAGGCTCCTGCAACACAGCGTGATGTTAATTTTGTAAATTATGTTCACATTTAGAGTGAAATAGACAACAAAGCAGGATATGTTTTAGGGCAGAGCTACCTTGTGATTGCCATGGATTTGTTTTGTTAGAATTTTGATCAGTTAAAACAGTTTTATCTGATTTAAAAATGTGTATCTGGACAGTTTTATATATTTCCTTCATATATTCATGATTTTAACATTTCTTTCTATTTGAGCTGATTTATTATAGGCTCTCTTTTTGGATTTTATGGGTTGTGCGGTTATGGATCAACAAGTAGGATGTTTGCCATCCTATGTTGCACTTTTTTTTGGTACTGGCGGGCAAAGTGAAGATGAGAAAAATGCCAAACTTGAGGCTTTACGACAGCTGTCCACTAACCAATGGACTACATCCATCTATTCATACAGTCTATAGTTGGTACACTGCACATTGCTCTACAAGTAGGAACACTAAAATGTTCTGTATTTTTTCTTTTTTTTGCTTCATATCTGGTTTGCGTCTCTTACTCTGGTGATGGAGGGGGTCCTCACAATCGACCTCCTCTGCTTCTTTGGCTTCCTCACGTCGTACTCGTCATCCTCAAGATCCTGAAAAAATTGAAAGACAGAAGCTGAAACCTCCTGAAAATACAGCCTCCCCTTAAATAAAAAAACTCAATGCATTATTAAGCTGGTAATAAAAATAAGTTTGCAAACTTTGCAGTGCCAGTACGGATGTTTCACTCCATCTTCATGAACTGATCGTTTAATTATTAACCGACAGGATAACTTAAAAACGATTTGTCTCGTGACCCATTAAAGCCTCGGCGATTTCCTCACCTGTCCCTGAACGGCGTCGTCGCTGGCCTCCTGCTCCGAGGAGAAGCTCTCGTACTCTTCCTCTGAGTAGTTATCTAAAGCAGGAGACAAGTGGGCAGATTAAAGGCGTGGAGTGCAGAAAACGCCTCATACATATTTCAATGACCTTTTTAAATCTGAAACGCTGCCAGCATCTAAATATACATGATGTACAGAGCACGCAGGGCTGTATGCTACCTGGATGTTACTGCTTTCTACATGACTAAGGAGAGAAAACAAAACACCCTGAACCCTGTGATCCCAGCTCTGTTCAGCCCATGGAGGTGATTATGATGGCGTCCTGCTGCCGTGAACGTGGAGGGTAATGAGAAGCAAAGCGTACCGGAGCATTTGATCTTCTGTCCTCCCTGCAGCGCCGCCTCCTCGTGGTCGATGGGCTGACTGGACAGGGAGAAGATCCAGATCTCTGCCACTTTGCCCAGCATGTCTTTCTGGTTGCTGCAGAGAGGCAGAACCTGGCCTCCCTCCGTCGGATGCTGCATCACCTGGAAGAGGCAGAAAAAACAGGACTGCTTTAGAAACATCCTGAATTAAGAGCTCAATTTCTTTAATTTGCTGAATCCATCACATTGAAAAACTGTCAAATACAACTAATTTCAAGCCTTTACTCAGAAGCCTGTTACACCAGAAAAGGAAAAACAGGTTCAGATTTTAAAGAAAGCATTGCTGTGACAATATATATTCACGTTAGAAATAAATCCTATGTCACTGCAAGCTTTTCAAAAACGCCCACAGAATTCCTGTGTGTTGTTCAGTGTTTGATACGAGGGGCAAAGCAGCTGTTTATAGCAGCCAGATGCTCGTTCTCTCTCAGGTCAAAAGTTCATTGCCATAACAGGATGTTTTCTCGCTATTATGACATTGTGTATAAGTGCAAAATGGCAGCCAGCTTTTCAGAAACATCCACAGAAGCGCCGTGTTTATCCTCCGGTGTTCGATACGAGATGCCGAATACACATTGTTTCCCGGGTGAGACGTTTTACGGCCATAACAATGTGTTTTTCATGCTATAACAAGTTATAGCCACGTCATAAAAAGATGTTTTCACATCTTTGCGACGTAAGGGCAAAATCCCAGCCAGCCTTTCAGAAACACCAGCATTCAAGTCAAAGTTTATTGCTGTAAGAAGATGTCTATATGTTATAACAAGATGTTTTCACCTCATTACGACATACAAGTCACAGTCAGTCATTAAGAAATATCCAGAGGAGCAACTGTGCAGCCGCTGGACATGTGTCTCATTTTCAAGTTTACTGTTATAACAAGATGTTTTCATGCTACAACGAAATGATTTCATGATATAACAAGACGTCTTTGTGTTATGACAAGATGTTCTTCTGTTATTATGGCATATTTAGTAACAATAGAGTTTTCTTGTTTTAACAGTTTTGGGGGTGTTCAGACCCTGATACTAAAATTGGGTTCAGGACCCATCATGGGAACTTTTAACTGTCTGGTATCGGCAAAAACCTGTTCCCTCTCCTTTGTTGGCATGTTATCGAAAAGCTGCAACTATGGCCATCAGATATTCCACTGGGACTCACTGTCCTAGATCAGTTTCACTTAATTTAATCATTTGATGGCCTGATGTCATTAAGCCTCTGATTCCACCAAGAAGAACCAGGTGCTAGTTCCTTGCTGGTGCTGGTTCCAGTGCTTAGTTGGTTCAAATCTGGCACCTCCTAAGAAGCTGTTTGCTTCTCCATTGGCAAGGAGCCCAGTTAGAGCTATACGTCACCACATACGTAGCCGTTTACCAAACAACCCTTGTGCCACATGTAAGGCCACACAGGACTCCAGACTAACTTTTTCACTGGTGCAACAGACTTTCTCATTTGGTTGCACTTCCCACCTGGTCACAGGCTAAACTTATGACTTGCTGAACACTTTCTTATCAATAGACATGACAATGTACCGATGTTCCTCGCACATTCCACATTGCAGGTGGTGGTAGCTGCTGGTGGTGTTACTCAGACAGTTGTACGACCAAAAACGATTTTCTAATGTCAGAGTTCTAATGTCAGATTTGTCCAAAACCAAGTGATTTTATCTCATGTGGTCTTTTCTATGAGTGGAATAAACAGCGAGGACTGTTTTCCACCACCGTGGTGCTGGTGAAAAACAACACAAGTCACCGCTTGTGTTTCCCATTCTGTGTCTCCATCGGTGCTTGGTGGAAAAGGGGTGTCAGAAGTCTTGGTCACGGTGCTCCTTTACAAGCTAAACTCTCATTTTACTCTCTGCTTGCCAACACAGAACTATCCATCTCCTCTTGCTGCTATAATATACGTCTTGCTTCGCCAGCCCACACAGTAAACCATAATGGTCGGGCTGCATCTCACTATGTTTGTTTGGATTTCTTTCAACCAGATTCATTGTAGACAAAGCTTATCAATGGACATAGCTTCGGTGTTCCTTCGAAATAGTACCAGGTGGAGTTATTGTGGAACATTTGCATGCAGTAGATAATCCACTGCTGTTCTAATTCACTGCACGATCCAAATCCTCAGCAAAACTCTAAATCTTTAGTGTGTAAGTTGCTGCTCGGAGGTTGTTTCCCATCATGAAGAAAACAGTAACAGAAGGAAGGGTAAAGCCAACTAAAACCCAGTGGCTCAGACTACTCCAGCATTAAACGGCAAGAAACTCCACCTGGTGGCGCAACCAGGTATTACAGTTATTCTACAGTAATTTAAGCGTGTATTAGCTCGGAAAATGGTACGATATAAATCAGCTGTTACGAAATATCACATGATTCAGAGCAGATAGGGAGCAAAAGAAATGTTTTGTTTTAAGCAAACATGATCAGGACATCCCTAAACTATATACTATTTATTTCTTGTGAAGGATTGCTATTTAAAAACCAGAGGTACGAGCTCAGAATAAAACACAAGTCGCTAAACTGTTTGTAGGGGATTGTGAGCTCATGTCGAGCCTCGTGTCCCGAAATGAGCAGCTGAGAAACGTTAAAAAAAAATTTTGTTATGGTTTTTAATTCCTTGAATTTTCTGTATTACATAAGACTAATTCTATGACATGCTTTTTATTTCAGCTTGGAGTTGCTGCTCATGCGAGTCAACTCACACCTGGTGCTGCAAACTTCGACCGAGGAAGCAGCTGCAGGTTTGATGCTTTGCTCAGCGGCACTAAATCACTTCATTCAACGAACAACCTCCGGAGATTCAAACTCTCTTCACAAACTCTGGGTCACTTCAGGACGCCGCCGCCGCCCCGAACCAGGACGAGCCTCTCTGCTCCATCTTATTCCCGCGAGACCCGGTGGGCCTGCAGCGGTTCAGGCTGTGATTGTGTTGTGTTGTTGTGTCAGAGCCTCTTTGTGTCCTTCAGCTGAGAATGTGTTTTTTTTTCTTCTTGTGGTTAAGTACGACTCCGTGCTGCTGCTTTATTTTCCCTCCTCTCAGGCGCCAAAAATGTTTTTTTTTTTTTGTTCTTCTCTCAGCTGCTGAAATGTGACCTTAATAAGCTCCGCTGAGCTTTGTCAGCCATATGGGAACTCCTCCGAGTATCAACATCATGTGCGCTGAAATCAAGCCGTTAATTTGTGTATTCTAGGTTTTCTTAAACAATCTCTCTGTGGGCTGAGATAACTTTAGCTTTTCTGAGGGTTTTTTATTTTAAAAACAAAGGAGGTTTTGTTCATTTATTTAACCCCCTTTTCTGCAGCAGCTGTGCAACATTTCAGGCTGACTTTACAAAACTAAATTTAAAACTTAATAACTTCTCATGGAAGCATCACAGAAACATGTTTAACAGCTTAAACTGAGGAAACCACCTTTCTGTTAAATATATAATTACTTAGTTAATATATCTGCTGAAACAGTTGGTCAATGAATGCAGGATTTTGGGGTATAAACAAGTGAAAATCATATTATAATTTAGTGAAACAGGCTCTGTCAGGCTGTTTCTTGCTGTAAAAGTAGGTGAATGACTTTTGAATGGCATCTGATGTGCACATGATGCATTCTGTGTTTGGCACATGGATGATTTAAAGCCTCTCTCATGTGAACTACCTCTGAATTGTTTGATATATAACATTTCTCTTACCTTTATTGACTTTTACTGTGTGGTAGTTGCACTCTGCGCTCACTGCAGCCCTAAATAGGTTTTATATTCACAAAAATGTCCATAATAATAATAATAACGTTTCTGTTTCTTTTTAACTTAAGCCCAAAATCTGGCTGCAATCATGGACAAATAAAGTTGAACTGAAGAGAATTAAATGTTTAAAACAGAGGGAGGTTTGCAACTGAGCCAAAACAATAAAGAACACATCATGTGCAACCATTGTGAGAATTGATTTTCCTTCAATATGCTCATTTTTAAGGGAACATTTGATGATTTCAGCTTCTCCAGTGTGATGATTTCCCACTTTTTCCACCTTTACATTATTGTAAACTAAATGCCGTTGGAGTTTCAGAAAATTCTGCGCTAATTCTTCTTTTTTTTTAAATGATATTTCACAGAACAAGCAACTAATCGATCAACAGAAAAGACTGCATTTAGGTTGTAACCAATCAAGTCCACTAATCAATCAAGTTGCATTCATGGCTTCATCTGTTCCTGAGTTATGGTGATGAATAATGGGCAGAAAAGTCGACCTTGGACCTTCTTTTGGATATAAAATGACATAATTGTATTCTATTTTTATCCACAATTACTGGGTGAATTCTTGGGTTTAGTTCAAAAACACATTTTGTGAGCTTTCAGTGACCTTTGATCATAGAAACTGAATCAGTTCATCAATAAATCCAAGAGAACGTTGGCGTCAGTGTAAAGAAACTCCCTCGAGATGTTCAAGAAATATCACTTTCATGACAATTAGATTAACGGACAACTCGGACATAATGATGAACAGATTAAGCAGTAAAGAAAGAGTTGCAGCCCTAGTTCAGGAGACACCTTCATTAATTACAAAAACAACAGCAGCAGTTACAGATTTCTAATTCCACATATTTGCATTTAGGTTTTTATAAGTCTGAAACCTGCATCTGCTGTAGGTTAACGATGAATTAAATGAACCAGAAAGCAGTTCGGGATCATTTGAGCCTTTCAAAGATAAAAGTATTCCTTTCAGATTTATTTAATCAAAGAAGAACAAGTAACCAGAACAGTCTAGCAGTCGACCTCCATCTCCAGCATCCACCTTCTGCTCATTAAATTTTCACACTGGTCCTGACTCTAACAGCCCGTCAGAGCTGATGCACCGTTTTCCTGCTGCCGGCCGCCAACACACTTCGAGGCTCGACGCAAAGTGGAGCAGAAGAGAGCTTGTTATCGTCTACAAATCGAACACAAGCCACCCGCTCTGGATGAAACACCACACCGTACCTCGGCCATGTCGATGGAACCCACCGCCAGAGTCTTGTAGCCCAGGATGGTTCGGTTCTTGTACCTTTTCCGTCTTTGCAGCATGATCTGCAGCTTGTTTCCTTCCCGTTTTAGGAAGTGTGGGTACTGAGATGGTGAGAAAACAGACAAAAGAGAGAAAGAAGTACAAATTACTAACTAAGAATTGAACCTGTAGTTTAAAAGATAAGTCTGGTTTTATTGTCGTGTTACATAATCTGACACATCCTCCAAACATGTTTTAGTTTGCTTTGAACCTCATAAGAACATTATCTGAAGTTAGAAATCTCCTTAAACAGAAACAAACCTTTATTTTTTTCTTTACATGATTATTAAAGCTTGCAGGTAACGTAAGTCAGTGTTGCAGGAACATCGACGGCTTCTTTTCTTTCTTTCTTTTTCAAATGAAAGCAACTTGTTTTACATTTTTAGCAGAAACAGGAGAAGCTAAGTTGAAGCAAAGAGGGAACACATTGCTGGTTTTGGTCTTTTCATGTAGATTTCTTTGAAACCAACAGAAACATAGAACACCATATCGTTTAATTATTTGTCATTTGTGAACACAGGGACGACAAACGCAGCGTCTCAGCAGCTGCAGCTTCATTTACCCTCACATCTAATGTAAGTCTGAACCGTTGCCATGGCTACGTGTGGGATAAAACTCATCCCACACATACTTTACCCTTATCTCAATAAACAACAGCAAATACAGAGCACACCTCTATTTATAAATGTTTAATCTGGCCACATATACAGTGTTTTATTGTTTTTTTAATGTTGTGTTAATTCTTGTATTTTCGTTACCTGCAGTGAGAAAGTGAGAGCCAGATCCGTCTCCACGGACCCACTGGGTGGCAGCACAATCTCATGGGACCTCAAAATCCGTTTGGAGCCCTTCAAAAAAAAAAAAAAAAAAGGTTGTTTAATTGAGTGTGAGCACATCTCTGCAGCTGCTACTCACTTTGCAGCAAAGGTGTGGGCCATGCATAATTCAGTGAGATTAAACACCTCATTTAGAATTTTAAAAAAGTTAATTGCTGAACTTCTGCATGTTTGGGAACATGTGCAGCTGTGTGTTAGTGTTTTGTAGAGAAACCTAGTTTAAAGC